GATATTGTGGATAACACATCATCCTGATAATGATAGACATCCAAAAATTAAAAACAAAAATAAAATATTTTTGAATTTCTAATTTGTAACAACAGATCTGTTTCCCTAATAAGCATAAGACTTCACGTTGTACTTTGTGACACCTTCCAATAGAAAGTGCTTTCATCTTATCCAGAGAGATAAAAACAGTTTTGACACTGGTTAGTTCAAATGTTGGCATCCACACCTGGTTTAACTTAGAGAGATTCATCCTGCCCTTTTTTTAGAGCTGTCCTGCTCGATTTTTGGTGCAGTGCTAGGACTACAGGTTTTGCGAGGGGTTTTCTAGTTCACATCTTAATAGAGCTGTGGGCAGTGCTATGTGAGGTGACAACCCTGTGATGTATTTGGTGAGTTGTGGCATTGAAAACGACAATGGAGAAACCCCCCTTCTCTATCTTCATCTCCTGTTTAAAATGTAAAATATGTATATATTGATGCAGTGCTGTTCTGCATACCCAAAATACATTGGAGATTTTTTCATTACACTGTATCTCATATATTCTGAATCATTTGGAGAAAATTAAATAAGAGTTCACTGTGGTGGTCCTTCTTTGTATCCTGAAATGTTCCTGATTCTGATTGGTACGCATACACTGTTTAATTGTACAGCACAGTTTCCCCTGGAATTGTTTCAAATGACGAGTTATTCCCAGGGTTCTGATATCTGCCTCAGGTATGCACCCCCACACAGCGGCACACGGCAAGATGTGACTGCATCTTGGTTTTGATGTTATTCTCCCAATTAACACTAGGTGGAGGTGTTTTATTTCCCAAGCTATATCCAGGATGTGACAGCTAACCATGTGTGACGTCTTCCAGAAAATACATTTTTTGTGTGAATTCCTTTTGCTTGGGAACACTTTAGCATGATTATACAATGCAGCATTTCAGGACTGTTAGTACTTTTGTATGTGATGATAAGTGGAGCTTTTCAGGGGAGAGGCTTAAAGGGAATAATTCCCTTTTAAAAATAACTAGAATGTCATGATGGAAAGAAGGTGTGGCTAAAAATGTCAGCTATGATAAATAGATCCTCCTTTGACAGGAATAGTTGTCCTTGAAGGAAGACACAGCACAGAAGGCTGTAGCTTTCTGCAGGACGCAGTGTACATGACTAGGACTTCTATGGAACATTAAATCTGCAATTTATGCATCTTTACTTGCAAGTAAGCCCCAAAGAACATAGCAAGATACACACTAGCTAGATATGCATAATATTGGGTGGCTTTCAGTCCAGAATAACATATGCAAGGAGAGCAAATTTCGTGCAAGCAGAAAAGACAAATTTGCTTAGATTCTTTCCCCTCTTCCCTCCCCTCCCCCATAGTATTTTTAAATGTTATCTGGTGCTCAATCACTCTTCTTTCACACCCATAGCCTTTCTCTTCCTGTGTTTTGCTTTTCAGTTTATAGGCATAATATATCTTATTAAAAGCTGGAATTGAATTAGTATTGTTTTTTCCCCCGACCTTTTCTTGCAACCATTCCCTATGAGGGAAACTTTCTGGAAGTTCTCTTTCATTGTAACGCTGAATTGGCCTGCTGATGGCCCGGGTTTTCTGTCACTGTTATTGTTGTAATGTGTCCTCAAGTCAGAACAAACTTATAGCAACCCTAAGAGGGCTCTCAAGGTGAGAGATTTAAGGAGTGGTTTTACCAGTTCCATTTGGTCAATGAGTTTCCATAGTTGAGCAGGGATTTGAACCCTGCTCTTTGAGTCCTAGTCCATCACTCTATCCACTACACCATACTACACCGCAAGCAAATGACCATTCTCCATTACGTTTTGCCCCGCTTCATGGAAGTTACCGTGACAAGGAAACAACTTCCCACAACAGGAACTTACTATTAAGAACGGTAGGTCCTGAATAATTCTGTCTGCAGAATTACTTCTGTTAAGTATGTGAATCGCCACTCCTTGACATGCTGAACGGATTGCTTCAGGGAGACCCCAGCATAACATGCCTTGCTCCTCTCCAAGAAGATGGTTTCTAAGCATCTCAGCAACTTCTCAAAGAACAGACCAGCAGTTCCCAACGCTGGGTCCCCAGATGTTCTTGGACTGCAACTCCCAGAAATCCTGGCCAGCACAGCTGGGAGTGGTGAAGGCATCTGAGAGTTCCCAGTCCAAGAACATCTGAGGAACCAATGTTGGGAACCACTGGTATAGATCAGTCAACCCAGTATCACCCAGCTGTAGAACAGTATGTGCAGCAATGGCTTAACAGTACAGGAGAGCATGGTGGCCGGCAGATGGCAGCTAAGAAGGCAAGGGGTAGCTCTTGAAAATACTACGTGATGGTAACTCTTCTGCAGCTATGGGGGGTGGAGCAGCATGTCAAGGAGCAGCTAAGAGCTAGTCACTGCCCTTATGAAAATTAGAGAGAACGCTGGCTGTAACCTAAAAAGATCCCTTTTCCAAGTTCTGAGAGTTATTTACCACAACTCAACCACTAAGGGCTGGACTGTCAACATTTCATACTTTCATTCCTGACATATATTTCCTGGGCAGATGGAAGGGGAAATTAAAGTGCTACAAATCTGAGGGATTTAAATGAATATAAGAGGGCAGTGATATTACTAGGATCCAAGCCCTTTGGCGAGATGGTTAAACTGCAGTACTGCAGTCAAGCCTCTTTTCACAAACTGAATTCTGTACTGAGGTTTTCAGGAGGCCAGCTCAAGGTTGACTTCGCTTTCCATTACTGCATTCTATGATCAGTAAAATGAGTACTTAGCTCGGGGGGGGGGCGGATAATGTTGTTTGCGTAATTATGTTGTAAGCATAGAGTACTCTAGCACTATGAGGTGCCATATAAATTGAAACAATATAACTTTTAGCCAGATCTATTTTCCTGGATTAATTTTGAATGCCAGAACTCCTTCTCAAATATACTCGCATGCCTCCTAATGAACTGTTCAGTAACATGTAAAAACCCTGCATACTTTTACGAACAGAGGCGGCTTATTTGTTTTCACTCTTTTTATTGTGCACCACACTCACATAAAATTACAAATGTCTGTAATGCATAAAGCCAGTGTGGCATAATAGTGGTGGAACAAGGACCCAGGAGATAATAGTTCAAATCCCCACTGAGCCATGGAACTAATTAGATGACCATGAACCAAACTAGAAAGAAAAAAAGAATTCTATGTTTTGTTTAGTGTGGGATTCATCAGGGCTGTTAAGTGAAAGAGACACCTTTTGCTTCTCAGCGTTTCTAAATCCCTCCTGCTGAAACCTTGCTATGCTGGAACAGAATGTTTCTTTTTGCTCTTTTCTTTGCTGTAACATATGTGCATCACACCCACATAAAATTGCAAATGCTTGCAATATATAGCCAGTGTGGTATAATGATCATAGCAGTAGAACAAGGGAAGGAAAGATAAAACATTCGTACAGTCTGATTTTTTTTTTAACCTCATGAAACTCTCCTCCATCATTAATTCTCTCCTCCGTCATTTGAAAACAGTTAAAACAAGCTTAATTGGGACAATCTTCTCTCACAGCTCCATTCTAATTTTTTGCTTCAAAAAAATTAGACCTCTGGATTTTTAAAATTATTATTATTATTTAACTGACAAGTCCAGTGTTCGGTATTCAAGAACCAAGACCAAGCTTTTTCGCAGGTCTTGGGTATCTTTATTTTTTCTTTTTAATTGACTTGCAAATGTTACATGACTTCTCAATACCTGAGGAATATTTCGAGGATGCAGAAAGCAGTAGTTTATTTTTGGATGGCCACTGTTATGTTTCATGTCTAATTCTCATCATTAAGATATAGTCAAGTTAAAACTTTAGTAAATATTAACTAGGGGAAATTAGTCTAAAAGGAAACCCCCAAAGGCCTACCCTTGATATTGCTTTGTTCAAAAAATTAGGAGCGCCATTTATTTATTTATTTATTTATGCCACTCACACTACCCAAAGGTCATAACACCACTAGTTTTGTTAACAGAGCATTGGACTCTTGTGGGCACAACTGTTTCTTCAGTTAGGCTGGTCATGTCTAAACATTATCCACACATTTTGCAAAAAAATTATTTTTCCCTAAACTACAAATTCCATGTTGCATCCATTGAAGAAACTATCATTTTTCCAGGAATAAAGTGAATACGTGGTCTTTTGCACATTGTTGGACAATAATTAAGTTACTCTTTGCCGCAGCCAGCACAATCAATGGTTAGGAATAATGGGGTTGTAATAAAACAATATTCCTACATACTCAAGGTGTGGAATAAATGACTTGAACTGTGTTTTTTTTGTGTGCAATTTGTTAGCCATTTTGCGCTCTTGAAAATAGGTAAGAACAACTACATCTGGAAGCATACCCATTTCCAATGCTTAATTTATACCCGCTGGAGAATTATTTATAACTCGCCTATCTTTCTAGCTTTGATAGTTAACAGAAGTAATACTAACATGTATTGAAATGTGTTTTGTGATCAGCCACAATGAGGAATATAAGATACAGAAACCTATCTGTGTGTGATTGACTCAGATAGAGTTTTGGAAAAGTTACTTTTCTGCAATGCCCACTCTAATGAACTAGGAGAGAAACTGTGGCTCAGACATTCTCTGTGATTAATCTGCTTATAGTGGTTTGTGATATTCTTCTACTAATCTAAGGACTTTATAATTCTCCAGCACTTTGGTTTAGGTCTCTGGCTGTGGAGCCAGAGATTGAGAGTTCGATTCCCCACTGTGCCTCCTTGACAGGGGCTGGACTCAATGATCCATAGGGTCCCTTCCAGCTTTGCAGTTCTAAGATGACAACCATGGTGATGATGATGACTTGTGCCAAACCCATGCTCTTTGGGGCCATTTTCCAAACAAACAGCATGAGGCTACAGCTGGCAACTTCTGGTTCCTAGCAGATGCTTAAAAGACATTGCTCAAAGCCACTCATACACACACACACACTCTCTCTCTCTCTCTTAATGGAGCACTAAGTCACTGCTCATTTTAATTTTTATTTCCAGTTTCAAATTTTCTACAAGAAAACATTAAAAAAATAGAAAACTCTAGAAGTTGTCAAGCTCCCTGACATGCCAGGTCACTACAGAAACAAAGATCTGTTGCTGGATCACTACGGAGATAAAGATACTGGCACTGGGTTGCTTGCTACGCACACGAGAGAGACAGTGGCACCTGGTTGCTATGGAGATGAGGCCCCAAAACAAGGTACTTTGAAATCCCCTCAGGCCAGGAGTGGTTAGTCTGGCCTGGCCTGCCTCTGTAGCACTTGACAAGATAAACAAGGCTTCATGGGGAAAGGGCTCCTGTGTCATTAATCAATGGATAAAGGAGAATTTTGACAGGCTTTAACTTCTCCCTACCACAGCAGCACAACGGAGGGGGAAACTGCAACTGAAGAAATGTTCTCCTTTTACAAAACCTTTCCGGATGAAACAGCAGGAGTCTCTTCCCATATAGGGGGAAATCAACCTTATTTTTGTGCCAACAGTGAAAAGGGCCCAGTTCCTCAGAAGTGACACTGAAAGGAAGCCGCATCAAGCCTAAAACTGAGGAGAGAAAAAGGAGTGGAACCCATCATGTCCAACCAAACGTATCACCTCCAAACCCTGTATGACTAACAGAAAAGACTGCTACAGCAACACTGCCCTACTCCATATCCCAGCCATATTACCACCTTCCTCTATTTTACCTCTTGGGGCTGGCATTTTTTTCTTTGCTTTTCCCGGTAGGGCTTCCTGTGCTGTTAAAAATCGACTGTGCCTCTTTTGGCTCTCCTGCTGCTGTTAAAAGACATAACGCCTCTTCCAAAAAAGAAGACAACCCTACTACTTTCTACCCCAACACCTCTCACCGATGGGCGCATGACCCTGTCGTTTGTGGGAAGGCATTGTACTAGCTGCCTCTCCTGGATTCTGCACTTCTACACTACAAATGTAAACAGTTCTGAAACTGGTTTAACTGTCTTTAGAAGCTGCCTTTTTACTGAATCAGATCATTGGTCCACCCGGCCCCATTCGGCCTGCTTTGGCAGGTCAAGGTCACCAGCAGAGGACTTTCAGAGCCCTGCTACCTCTTTTCGCTAGGGATTACAAAGGATTAAATCTGGAACTTTATTGCATGCAAAGCATGTGCTCTATCACTATGCTATGGGCTCTCCAAGGCCCCTGCTCATGAACTCTGAGAGCTGTAGTTTTCATAGGGGCATTCAGAATTCTTTATTAGAGAGGTCCACTTCACAGAATGAACTTACAGTTCCCAGGGCCCCACAATGGGAGTTATCATGACAGTTAAAGAGGTTCGAAACTGGTTTATATATGTAGAGTAGATATACTCAAGCCTGCACTGGCTCCATCTGCAATTCCATGAGGCCTTGGCCTGTCTTAGATGCCTCCTGATGTGGTCCCTTTTGGACCACAGAACCAAGCAATTTCTCCTCGGGTCTGGGTTCCTCGGAGTCTTGTGACATATCGTCCCAACCTTGTTGAGCTGGTGCAGCTCCAGGAGAAAGACTAGCAATTATTGCTCCATCAGGGGTCCGCTTCCCTCGAGGCAACTCGGATATGGGAGGCTCTCCCTGGTCTTCTGAGTGCCAGAGGTTCTGGGTTTTGATGCCCTCACCCTTTGGACTTAGACACTCAAGGCCTCTCATCTGGGGGCTCTGGGTTTCAGGCATCTCATCCTCCACCATCACCCGAGGTTTAGGGGCAGTGTGAGAATAGCGCCGGGTACGGGCTTTCCGGCTGTGGTGGACTTGAAGGTGTAATTCCATTAGCTCAGGAGCTGAGGTGGCAAAGGGGCAAAACTGACAGCGGTGGAGGGCTCCTCCGGCCAGGGCTGGGCGCAGCGATAGGTCCAAGGGCTGGAAGTCAGCTTTCCCATTGAGCAGAGGCTTGCGTCGCGATGGACGGGACCGAGCTGCACCCAAGCCCCCCAGAGATAGGAAAGGCCCATGGCTCTTGGTGAGCTGGGTAGGGGGAAAGGCAGGGACTGCAGTGGGGGCGAGGGGTATGGGGCACCGCTCCAGTGTTCCGGCAGCAGCGGCTGCTGCAGCAGCAGCAGCTGCAGCGCTCTTCTGCTCCCGGTGATGGCGCTGCAGGTGGTACTTGAGAGAGCCAGACTGGGTGCCAGCGTAGTCACAATGAGGGCACTTGTACGGGCGCTCACCTGCAGAAAAAAAGCACGAGAAACAAGCTGGTAAGACAGCTGTATTTTGAAGTCTTTTCCTGTAGATATAGAACAATAGAAATTTGGGCCCTGCAGACTTCAGCAAACGTTCCACATCTAGTCACAGATTCACTAGGTGACACTGAATCATTCTCTTTTCGTCCTGCCAATTCCCGGGCAGGTCATGGATCTGTAAGGGAGGAGAGAACTATTGCACCTCGTTGTACAGACTGGACGGGGGTCATATCCCCTCATATTCCCTGAACTGCCTGCCTCACAACCTATAAAGCACAAATAAACATAACCGGGATGCTCCCTCTGAGTCTGCCGGAGCAAGTGGGGGTGTCAAACTGCTGAACACCTGCTGCGGCAGTAAACAAACCAGGACGAACCACCAAACTCGTGGTTTGTGCCCATCTCTAGTCCTTACCTAAACTTACCTTTTAAGATATTTTAATGGTCCTGACATGACCAGATAGGCAGGATATAAATAAAATAAATAAATAAATGATCCAATAATAATACTGCCAAAGGATTTTGCAGTACAAAGCACACAACTGTGTTTTCTTTTTTATTTTATTATGACTTGATTCTGCATCCTAAACTTACCTTTTAAGATATTTTAATGATCCAATAATAATACTGCTGAAGGATTTTGCATACAAAGCAGACAATTGTGTTTTCTTTTTTGTTTATTTTATTATGACTTGATTCTGCAAGACATAGTTTTAATAGCTGATGGTAAGCTATTAGGGGAGCTAAATAGATTTTCCAACAAAAAAGAAAAAGAAGTGGTGGGGGAAAACATAATTTGGATATTCACCTCACATGATGGCCTGATTTTTTACACATCACGGACAACTAGGTTTGTGGCCATTTAAAAGTCTGACACAGTAAGTTACAGGAATTCATTCTCGCTGGTTGCACATTTTTGATACTAGTCTGACACACTGGATTTACAAAGCTGTACTTCCAGGAAGTGTCTTGCCTACCACACACTGAATACATGAGTGGAAGGGGAAAGGGACTGTGCTCCTCTTGCAACTGTCCAGAGCACCCAGGCAACTAGAGAATGCTGTCCGCTCTCCTTACTACTCCTTAGAGTAGACCTTTGGTCTAGATGGGTGGGATAGAAATCCAATAAATAGAATAAATCAATACTTTTCTCATCATTAGGATGGAGTAGGTGAACAGGGCAGCGGGCCTAGCAGTGGGGGGGTGTCTCCGAAGGCATTTGGGCCTTGGAAGATATCATCCCAATGGTTAGCTTTAGTTATGCTCCAGGTTAAGTAATAAGAGGAAGAAACATTGAAATGGCTTGGCTAGCCTGGACAGACTGCCTGTGATACGTCTGAAAAAGGTAGTGATTTCAACACATTTAGCTAGGCAGGAAGTAAGTGGAAGTTGTATGGACTTCACCAGTAGTAAAGAACTATGAGAGAAGGGGGATTGTCAGGAATTAGCCAGCATGGACACATGAACCTTGGGTGTTACCCCACACCACTTGCTGTTGGCCATCCAGATGACTCCTGCCTACTATGCTTGATCTTGACTTTTACCTGTGTGGACACGGAGGTGAACTTTGAGATGGTGGGAAGACCTGAAGGACTTCCCACAGAATGGACAGTCTTTCCCAGTGCCCCGTCGGGATCCGTCCAGGCGTGACTGCCCCTGCATATCTGGAAAACACACCATGGGGAGGGAAAGGGATTTTTAATAAGAGGGGATTCCAAAACTTTCTTCATTCTCCCTGTTTGGTTCCATTCTTCTTTTCTCTTTGCCTTTGGGCGCATCTCAGAGGCACAAAACGAAAATGGAGGTATGCCACTTTCCCACACTAGTGTAGGTAACCTCCCCTAGACAACTGTGACGACTACGCTGGATCAGTATCAATTTGAAACCTTTGTTAATGTAACACAGTGTGACAACTGCAGAAAGGAGTGATGTTTTTCATTTCATCCAAGTAACAGAGGAATGACTTCTGTGCCATTTATTTTACAATGCTTGCCAAAAAAAAAAAAACCTTCACATTTAGGAAACAAAAATTGCAGAAACCCAGCAGTCAACTTTTAAGTTTTCTAGAAAGAAAAACAGGAAACACACCTTGCAATGTGCCGTAAACACTAACCACAATTCTATTAGTGTTCGCATAAGGCTTGTATAACTTGATGTGGCGACTCGGGGCTAATTCCCCCACATTAATTCCCTCAGTTATATAACCAAGGAGCCAGATCACATCTTGGTTACGCAGCTGCATATGTGACTAGACTTATGACAGACACATGCCAGGCCACCTGGCCAATGAACCACAATCAACTGCAAGCAAATTATGCAAACCTTACACTAATGCTAGGAGGGTTCTGGCTATTAAGACTGAAAAAAAAATTCTAGTATTTTATTGTCTCCCCTTTTTTCTTATTGTTACACCACATGTAGCGCTATGCAGTGAAAGAAACTGCTTCTGTATAAATGCATTTTCTCAGAATGGTTCTAGATTGGGACTTCTCTCCACCAGAGGTGGCCAAATTCTAGACCTGCCAGGCCTAGTTCTGTTCCTGCTAGAATTATGACATCTGTCAAGAAGCACCAGATACAACACAGTGGTTTAGAAGGTTGGTGGGGGTGACAGTATGAGAGATGTTGATTTGGGTTCCCAATCTTGGGTCCCTATATGTTCTTGGACTAAAACTCCCAGAAGCTTTTACCAGTAGCTGTGCTGATCTGGGTTTCTGGGAGATGCAGTCCAAGAACATCTAGGAAACCAAAGTTGGGAAGGAGAAAGGCATTTTCACACATTCTGCCCAGTCATTTGTTCTCAGCACCCCAACTGAGTTCACTGCCCTTTCACAGATGCCATTTCCAGTTCTCTCTCAACGTTTCTTAGTTTCATCAGCCCAATTTAAAGAAGATGGGAAACATTTATATTACTGCTGTTGCTGGGCGGGGGATGAGTAGGAGGAAGGAGTACAGAAATCCTTGTCAAGCCACTGCAAGCCACAGATCCTGATCTAACATTTGGTGCATCCCTGGTCTATACAAAATCTGGCGAGTGTTATATTTCCTTTACGGTTTCTGGGAGATGCAGTCCAAGAACATCTAGGAAACCAAAGTTGGGAAGGAGAAAGGCATTTTCACACATTCTGCCCAGTCATTTGTTCTCAGCACCCCAACTGAGTTCACAGCCCTTTCACAGATGCCATTTCCAGTTCTCTCTCAACGTTTCTTAGTTTCATCAGCCCAATTTAAAGAAGATGGGAAACATTTATATTACTGCTGTTGCTGGGGGGGGGATGAGTAGGAGGAAGGAGTACAGAAATCCTTGTCAAGCCACTGCAAGCCACAGATCCTGATCTCACATTTGGTGCATCCCTGGTATACAAAATCTGGCGAGTGTTACATTTCCTTTATTTTATTTATTCGTTTATTTTATCTTAACAGACTGTCCCTCTTCTCAAGTTATCAGCTTAGACGAGGATACTCTACCCACAGGCCTGCTTTTACAAGAGACCAGAGGGCAGGCACTTGAGACAGGGCTTCTTTCAGCAGTGGCATCATTTCAGTGGAATACTATACCTAGGCGGATCCCTTGCCCCCTTCTCTTCTAGTCTCCAGGCAGACAACTCTTTACTGTTTCCGTGTACCCTTAGTATTTCCCCCTCTTTGTATCCCAAATGCTAATCTCTATTTTACACTTGGCTGCTGGCTTTAAAACTGTCTTTTTACTGTTTTCTAAAAAATGTTTTTATGTTGTATTTGTATTGCAGTGAATTTTCCCAGTGTTATATTTTTCCTAATCTGTGTAAGTTTGTATATCTTTTTATTAAAAGAAAGCAGTAATGGGAGGAGCATACGCAATACTTTTTAATAATTTAAAAGTGAAATGGAGAAGAAAAGATTGGGATGTGAAAAATCCTTAAGTGACAAGGGGGTGGTTGAGAATTTTTTCCCCATAAACCAAAATCCCAAGCTCTCTATTTCTGAGGTCACATCCCTTTTTCGTCCCTAACAAGGGCAAACCTTTTGAGTATTACTGGGATGGAAGAAGGAAGGGTAGAAAGTGCAGTTGCTCCTAGTTCCATTCAAAGCTTGTCATGCTTCCTTCCCTTCTTCCTATAAAAGGTTTCAGGATAATGTACAGTACAGCCTTTTTTTCAGCATTATTAAACTGGGTAGAATAAACACAAGAAGGGGAAAGATGTCAGTTCTTCCTCTCCTTGATGCCATTTCTGTCACCCCCTATACATGGAGGGCAGGTTTCTGAGGGGCAGAGCCTCTTCTGTCCATGGATGCTCTTATCATGGTTTGGAATCCTGGATTTCAATAATTAGGGGAAAGCGTTCACAGATTAAAGAAGCATCCCACTTCAGAAGGTTGCCCTCCAATTGTGGAAGAAGAGGGAGAATGGGACTGATTGGTTGATTGATTGATTGATTGATTGATTGACTGACTGACTTACAACCTGCCCATAAAACCTGTGCAACCAATCTAGACCTAAAATTAATATAAAAAGAAAAAGAAAGCACAACAAAAGAAAAAAAAATAATATTTACAGCAGCTCGTGGAGAAGTTATTCAAGGAAGCTTTGTAGAATTTTGTCATCACCAATTTCCTGAATATTAAGAGGGAAGGAGCCTGGTGTATCTCAGATGGAATCATATTCCAAAGCCTAGGGGCCATTTCTGAGAAGTCACCTCTGAATACCAGTTGGTCACCTGGGTTTCAACAGAACACCCACCCACCCCGACATTCTGGAAACCAACTGGGTCCAACAGTTTTAGGGGGCACCGATGTACAATGTGAAAATCTCAGCAGGTGATGATCTGATGATAAGGCAGAAGATGCATGGTTTACCACCTTCAGATCATTTTCTCTCTGCCAGATGTGAACACCAGGTCCAATATGTGTGATTTGGCACATGCATATGACCAGTGACATGTTGGGGCAGGCCCATGGACACCATGGCATCCATCAACTCCAAGGCTGCCCTGGCAACATGCATCCCTGCATGGATGTTAAAGTCTCCCAGAAGTACAGTGGTGCCTCGACCATAATCTTCCAGAAGATGCAATGTAAGTCAAAATGGTTGTAAGTCAAAGCATGCATTCCCATAGGAATGCATGGGAACACAATTAATCCGTTCTGGCAAAAAAAACACAAAACCACCAATCCTTAAAAAAATTAAAATAAAACTGCAAGCCCCGCGCAGAGATTGAAAAAAACCCACCAAAAAAACAAACAACAATACACCACAGAAACATAACCCCCCCCCAGCCCTGCAAAACCGACCTAGAACAGTTTTTAAACACCAAAAACTGGTACCTTACCTTATCAGGCAGACCCAAGCCTCCTCTGATGGCCTCTGCGGGCCGCTGCCGTTGCTGGTGCCCGACACCACCTCCAGCTCCGGAACCAGCACCAGCAGCTGCTCACCAGGGCAGCCGCATCAGTCCTTAGCGCTCCTCGCTGCCCTCTGTGGGCTGATGGCGGGAAATTCAAATGTACTGATGGCCCGCGGAGGGCGGCGAGGAGTGGCGGTGGTGGCCCAGCACCAGGAGGCTGAGCCTTGCTGGGATGTTCCGGCCACTCGCCTCCCAACGGGCTCCAAAGATGCTGAGGTTGCCGGCAGTTCCTCAGTGCCTAACTGTTGGGGCGAAAGAGCTACAAAGAAGCAGTCTCTTCGCCAGCAACGGTTTGAATTTCCCACCTTTCCCCCTCGCCTTTCCTGGTCGCAAGTCGAAGCTCCGGCCGCAAGCCAAAGCAAAATTTTGCGGCTGGAGCTGTTCATAAGTAGGGGCATTCGTAAGTCGAGGCACCACTGTAAAAGATACTTAGTCCACCTTAAAAATGAGGAACCCTTTGGCTTCTGGATTTTAATCCTACAACTAAGATCATCCCCACCCATCACCCCAATACAGGATTTTAGGAATTAATAGTGCAAAACTTTTGAATGGTCAAAGTTCCCCAATCTATTCTATTCAACAGTGAAATCCTATGGTTTTTT